CCCCAAAACCCCAAAACCCCAAAACCCCAAAACCCCAAAACCCCTTAATCTATTATCAATATTGATTATTAAATAACTATCTTGTGGTTGCTCTTTGGTCTTTCATCTCCTGAATAAGTTTTTGCTTGACGATCTCCTTAGTTTTGGCTAGCTCTCTCATTCCATCTCTTCTGCACTTGGCTTCCAGCTTAGCCTTGATTACTTTATAATTAAGTGTGAGATCCATCTCTTCCTGCATCTTTTTGAAAATATATTTCTGGTTCTTGTTTTGACTCGAGTTGTATTTCTTCTTTATCGATTTGAATTTATGCATCACTTCCTTATTTAGCTCTCTTTTTGAGATCAATATTCTCAAGTAACTGTTTATTTAGCAAACTTCTTCCTTGCTAGCTTTGGGTTCTTGTGCATTAGCTATTAAAATAAGGCGAAGAGGTTTACCAGAATCCTATTTTTCCTCAGTTTCAATTAAATCAGCCTGATTTTTTAACTCATTTTCATAATCCATGAGGTTTTTGATCTTCTTATAATTCCTCAGGATCTCATTGTAATAGCCTAATTCCTGATTTCTTCGAGAAGTTTTGGCAGCTTCTTCTTTGAAATCAAAGAACTCAGTTTCACCAGTGGGGATTCTGTACAACATTTTTCTTCGCTTTTCTTCTCTCTGACGTATTGTCAGCCCATCGTGTGGGAATTTCCATTCTCTTTTGGGATATCTTTCAATCCTCTTTCTGATAAGAGCAGGCCCTAGATATGTGAGAGATATGAACTTACCTACAAGCGTCACTTGCGGTTTTCTTCGTCTATAATAATTTTCAGGAAATTTTAAATTTCATCCAAATCTCAAAAAATAAAATTCTCAACCTAAAAATTCCCAAAACTCCATCATCCCAAATCACTAACCTCTCATTCCAACCCTATCCACCCCTACAACCCCTCTCCTGCGCTCTCTCCCCTCTATCCGCCCAAAGCCCCAAAATTCCCTCTAAAGCCCTTCTATTTCCCTCTTATCCCCTCAACATCTAAATTTCTCAAAAAATCTGAACAATTTCATCTAAACCTCTACGTGAAGTTTTAAATTCTGAGGTTTAATAGTAAGGTGAAAAGTAGGAATTTGGGAAGAAATGGGACTTACTGCTGTTTTGAGTTGGCACGAGGTTTGGGTGGGAAGGAGGAGAAGGGAGGGGTCAGGGAGGTAGAGGGGTCTATAGAGGGTTGGGAGAGAGGACGTCTTTTATTTTGAGTGCGAGGTCTTGGTTCTGGGGATACTAGAGGTGTTAGAGAGGGTGGGGTACATGGTGGCGTTGTAGTTGAGGGCTTCTTTTCAGGATTTTATTAGGTTTTTGAAGAGTTGTTTAGAGTAGTCGTCTTGTGTCATACTCATTGTTTTTCTTTTCATATTGTATGTTTCTAAAGTCTATAAAAACTTCAATTATTTATATGTAACTCGGGGTTTTGGGGTTTTGGGGTTTTGGGGTTTTGGGG